AGTGTAAACCAGGAACAGTGTAGACCAGGAACAGTGTAAACCAGGAACAGTGTAAACCAGGAACAGTGTAGACCAGGAACAGTGTAGACCAGGAACAGTGTAAACCAGGAACAGTGTAAACCAGGAACAGTGTAAACCAGGAACAGTGTAAACCAGGAACAGTGTAAACCAGGAACAGTGTAAACCAGGAACAGTGTAGACCAGGAACAGTGTAAACCAGGAACAGTGTAAACCAGGAACAGTGTAGACCAGGAACAGTGTAGACCAGGAACAGTGTAGACCAGGAACAGTGTAGACCAGAGACAGTGTAAATTAGAGACAGTGTAGACCAGGAACAGTGTAGACCAGGAACAGTGTAGACCAGGAACAGTGTAGACCAGGAACAGTGTAAACCAGGAACAGTGTAGACCAGGAACAGTGTAGACCAGGAACAGTGTAAACCAGAGACAGTGTAGACCAGGAACAGTGTAAACCAGGAACAGTGTAAACCAGGAACAGTGTAGACCAGGAACAGTGTAAACCAGGAACAGTGTAAACCAGGAACAGTGTAAACCAGGAACAGTGTAAACCAGGAACAGTGTAGACCAGGAACAGTGTAAACCAGGAACAGTGTAAACCAGGAACAGTGTAGACCAGGAACAGTGTAGACCAGGAACAGTGTAAACCAGGAACAGTGTAAACCAGGAACAGTGTAAACCAGGAACAGTGTAAACCAGGAACAGTGTAAACCAGGAACAGTGTAAACCAGGAACAGTGTAGACCAGGAACAGTGTAGACCAGGAACAGTGTAAACCAGGAACAGTGTAAACCAGGAACAGTGTAGACCAGGAACAGTGTAAACCAGGAACAGTGTAAACCAGGAACAGTGTAAACCAGGAACAGTGTAAACCAGGAACAGTGTAAACCAGGAACAGTGTAAACCAGGAACAGTGTAAACCAGGAACAGTGTAGACCAGGAACAGTGTAGACCAGGAACAGTGTAAACCAGGAACAGTGTAGACCAGGAACAGTGTAGACCAGGAACAGTGTAGACCAGGAACAGTGTAGACCAGGAACAGTGTAAACCAGGAACAGTGTAGACCAGGAACAGTGTAAACCAGGAACAGTGTATACCAGGAACAGTGTAGACCAGAGACAGTGTAAATTAGAGACAGTGTAGACCAGGAACAGTGTAGACCAGGAACAGTGTAGACCAGGAACAGTGTAGACCAGGAACAGTGTAGACCAGAGACAGTGTAAATTAGAGACAGTGTAAACCAGGAACAGTGTAGACCAGGAACAGTGTAAACCAGGAACAGTGTAAACCAGGAACAGTGTAGACCAGGAACAGTGTAGACCAGGAACAGTGTAGACCAGAGACAGTGTAGACCAGGAACAGTGTAAACCAGGAACAGTGTAAACCAGGAACAGTGTAGACCAGGAACAGTGTAAACCAGGAACAGTGTAAACCAGGAACAGTGTAAACCAGGAACAGTGTAGACCAGGAACAGTGTAGACCAGGAACAGTGTAAACCAGAGACAGTGTAAACCAGGAACAGTGTAGACCAGGAACAGTGTAAACCAGGAACAGTGTAGACCAGGAACAGTGTAGACCAGGAACAGTGTAGACCAGGAACAGTGTAAACCAGAGACAGTGTAGACCAGGAACAGTGTAAACCAGGAACAGTGTAAACCAGGAACAGTGTAGACCAGGAACAGTGTAAACCAGGAACAGTGTAAACCAGGAACAGTGTAAACCAGGAACAGTGTAGACCAGGAACAGTGTAGACCAGGAACAGTGTAAACCAGAGACAGTGTAAACCAGGAACAGTGTAGACCAGGAACAGTGTAAACCAGAGACAGTGTAGACCAGAGACAGTGTAAACCAGGAACAGTGTAAACCAGGAACAGTTTAAACCAGAGACAGTGTAAACCAGAGACAGTGTAAACCAGAGACAGTGTAAACCAGAGACAGTGTAAACCAGGAACAGTGTAGACCAGGAACAGTGTAGACCAGGAACAGTGTAAACCAGGAACAGTGTAGACCAGGAACAGTGTAGACCAGGAACAGTGTAGACCAGAGACAGTGTAGACCAGGAACAGTGTAGACCAGGAACAGTGTAGACCAGGAACAGTGTAGACCAGGAACAGTGTACACCAGAGACAATGTAGACCAGAGACAGTGTAAACCAGGAACAGTGTAGACCAGAGACAGTGTAAACCAGGAACAGTGTAAACCAGGAACAATGTAGACCAGGAACAGTTTAAACCAGAGACAGTGTAAACCAGAGACAGTGTAAACCAGGAACAGTGTAAACCAGAGACAGTGTAAACCAGGAACAGTGTAAACCAGAGACAGTGTAGACCAGGAACAGTGTAAACCAGGAACAGTGTAAACCAGAGACAGTGTAAACCAGAGACAGTGTAAACCAGAGACAGTGTAGACCAGGAACAGAGTAAACCAGGAACAGTGTAGACCAGGAACAGAGTAAACCAGGAACAGAGTAAACCAGAGACAGTGTAAACCAGAGACAGTGTAAACCAGAGACAGTGTAAACCAGAGACAGTGTAAACCAGAGACAGTGTAAACCAGAGACAGTGTAAACCAGAGACAGTGTAAACCAGAGACAGTGTAAACCAGAGACAGTGTAAACCAGAGACAGTGTAAACCAGAGACAGTGTAAACCAGAGACAGTGTAAACCAGAGACAGTGTAAACCAGAGACAGTGTAAACCAGGGACAGTGTAAACCAGAGACAGTGTAAACCAGAGACAGTGTAAACCAGAGACGGTGTAAACCAGAGACAGTGTAAACCAGAGACAGTGTAAACCAGAGACAGTGTAAACCAGAGACAGTGTAAACCAGAGACAGTGTAAACCAGAGACAGTGTAAACCAGAGACAGTGTAAACCAGAGACAGTGTAAACCAGAGACAGTGTAAACCAGAGACAGTGTAAACCAGAGACAGTGTAAACCAGAGACAGTGTAAACCAGGAACAGTGTAAACCAGAGACAGTGTAAACCAGAGACAGTGTAAACCAGGAACAGTGTAAACCAGGGACAGAGTAAACCAGGAACAGAGTAAACCAGAGACAGTGTAAACCAGGAACAGTGTAAACCAGAGACAGTGTAAACCAGGAACAGTGTAAACCAGAGACGGTGTAAACCAGGAACAGTGTAAACCAGAGACAGTGTAGACCAGGAACAGTGTAAACCAGGAACAGTGTAAACCAGAGACAGTGTAAACCAGAGACAGTGTAAACCAGAGACAGTGTAAACCAGAGACAGTGTAAACCAGGGACAGTGTAAACCAGAGACAGTGTAAACCAGAGACAGTGTAAACCAGAGACGGTGTAAACCAGAGACAGTGTAAACCAGAGACAGTGTAAACCAGAGACAGTGTAAACCAGAGACAGTGTAAACCAGAGACAGTGTAAACCAGAGACAGTGTAAACCAGAGACAGTGTAAACCAGAGACAGTGTAAACCAGAGACAGTGTAAACCAGAGACAGTGTAAACCAGAGACAGTGTAAACCAGGAACAGTGTAAACCAGAGACAGTGTAAACCAGAGACAGTGTAAACCAGGAACAGTGTAAACCAGGGACAGAGTAAACCAGGAACAGAGTAAACCAGAGACAGTGTAAACCAGGAACAGTGTAAACCAGAGACAGTGTAAACCAGGGACAGTGTAAACCAGAGACAGTGTAAACCAGGAACAGTGTAAACCAGAGACAGTGTAGACCAGGAACAGTGTAAACCAGGAACAGTGTAAACCAGAGACAGTGTAAACCAGAGACAGTGTAAACCAGAGACAGTGTAGACCAGGAACAGAGTAAACCAGGAACAGTGTAGACCAGGAACAGAGTAAACCAGGAACAGAGTAAACCAGAGACAGTGTAAACCAGAGACAGTGTAAACCAGGAACAGTGTAAACCAGGGACAGAGTAAACCAGGAACAGAGTAAACCAGAGACAGTGTAAACCAGGAACAGTGTAAACCAGAGACAGTGTAAACCAGGAACAGTGTAAACCAGAGACAGTGTAAACCAGGAACAGTGTAAACCAGAGACAGTGTAGACCAGGAACAGTGTAAACCAGGAACAGTGTAAACCAGAGACAGTGTAAACCAGAGACAGTGTAAACCAGAGACAGTGTAGACCAGGAACAGAGTAAACCAGGAACAGTGTAGACCAGGAACAGAGTAAACCAGGAACAGAGTAAACCAGAGACAGTGTAAACCAGAGACAGTGTAAACCAGAGACAGTGTAAACCAGAGACAGTGTAAACCAGAGACAGTGTAAACCAGAGACAGTGTAAACCAGAGACAGTGTAAACCAGAGACAGTGTAAACCAGAGACAGTGTAAACCAGAGACAGTGTAAACCAGAGACAGTGTAAACCAGAGACAGTGTAAACCAGAGACAGTGTAAACCAGAGACAGTGTAAACCAGGGACAGTGTAAACCAGAGACAGTGTAAACCAGAGACAGTGTAAACCAGAGACGGTGTAAACCAGAGACAGTGTAAACCAGAGACAGTGTAAACCAGAGACAGTGTAAACCAGAGACAGTGTAAACCAGAGACAGTGTAAACCAGAGACAGTGTAAACCAGAGACAGTGTAAACCAGAGACAGTGTAAACCAGAGACAGTGTAAACCAGAGACAGTGTAAACCAGAGACAGTGTAAACCAGAGACAGTGTAAACCAGAGACAGTGTAAACCAGAGACAGTGTAAACCAGGAACAGTGTAGACCAGGAACAGTGTAAACCAGGGACAGAGTAAACCAGGAACAGAGTAAACCAGAGACAGTGTAAACCAGGAACAGAGTAAACCAGAGACAGTGTAAACCAGGAACAGTGTAAACCAGAGACAGTGTAAACTGTATTTAAATAATAATAATAAATATACTTTTTAAATGTTAACCTTTGAATGAACAAGGAAATAAATTGTGTACGTGTGTGTGTGCATGTGTGCATCATGTGCGTGTGTGTGTGTGTGTGTGTGTGTACATGTGTGTGTCCAGGCCCCACGGTGCTGGAGGTCTTCAACACTCTCCTTAAACACCTTCGCATCAGTGTGGACCTGGAGCTGGGCTCAGACTCACGACGGAACTCAGCCCTGAGTCTGTCGTCTGGTCAGAGGAAGGAGAGCGAGGAGAGATACGTCCAGAACGCCATCATCCAGACCATAGGTGAGACCATCAACCACACCATCAACCACACCAGTAACCATACCATCAACCACCCAGACCAGGTGAGACAGGAGGTCAGAGGAAGGAGAGCGAGGAGAGATACGTCCAGAACGCCATCATCCAGACCATAGGTGAGACCATCAACCACACCATCAACCACACCAGTAACCATACCATCAACCACCCAGACCAGGTGAGACAGGAGGTCAGAGGAAGGAGAGCGAGGAGAGATACGTCCAGAACGCCATCATCCAGACCATAGGTGAGACCAGCAACCACACCATCAACCACACCAGCAACCATACCATCAACCACCCAGACCAGGTGAGACAGGAGGTCAGAGGAAGGAGAGCGAGGAGAGATACGTCCAGAACGCCATCATCCAGACCATAGGTGAGACCAGCAACCACACCATCAACCACACCAGCAACCATACCATCAACCACACCATCAACCACCCAGACCAGGTGAGACAGGAGGTCAGAGGAAGGAGAGCGAGGAGAGATACGTCCAGAACGCCATCATCCAGACCATAGGTGAGACCAGCAACCACACCATCAACCACACCAGCAACCATACCATCAACCACCCAGACCAGGTGAGACAGGAGGTCAGAGGAAGGAGAGCGAGGAGAGATACGTCCAGAACGCCATCATCCAGACCATAGGTGAGACCAGCAACCACACCATCAACCACACCAGCAACCATACCATCAACCACACCATCAACCACCCAGACCAGGTGAGACAGGAGGTCAGAGGAAGGAGAGCGAGGAGAGATACGTCCAGAACGCCATCATCCAGACCATAGGTGAGACCAGCAACCACACCATCAACCACACCAGCAACCATACCATCAACCACCCAGACCAGGTGAGACAGGAGGTCAGAGGAAGGAGAGCGAGGAGAGATACGTCCAGAACGCCATCATCCAGACCATAGGTGAGACCAGCAACCACACCATCAACCACACCAGCAACCATACCATCAACCACCCAGACCAGGTGAGACAGGAGGTCAGAGGAAGGAGAGCGAGGAGAGATACGTCCAGAACGCCATCATCCAGACCATAGGTGAGACCATCAACCACACCATCAACCACACCAGTAACCATACCATCAACCACCCAGACCAGGTGAGACAGGAGGTCAGAGGAAGGAGAGCGAGGAGAGATACGTCCAGAACACCATCATCCAGACCATAGGTGAGACCAGCAACCACATCATCAACCACACCAGCAACCATACCAGAAACCACACCATCAACCACCCAGACCAGGTGAGACAGGAGGTCAGAGGAAGGAGAGCGAGGAGAGATACGTCCAGAACGCCATCATCCAGACCATAGGTGAGACCAGCAACCACACCATCAACCACACCAGCAACCATACCATCAACCACCCAGACCAGGTGAGACAGGAGGTCAGAGGAAGGAGAGCGAGGAGAGATACGTCCAGAACGCCATCATCCAGACCATAGGTGAGACCAGCAACCACACCATCAACCACACCAGCAACCATACCATCAACCACCCAGACCAGGTGAGACAGGAGGTCAGAGGAAGGAGAGCGAGGAGAGATACGTCCAGAACGCCATCATCCAGACCATAGGTGAGACCAGCAACCACACCATCAACCACACCAGCAACCACACCATCAACCACACCAGCAACCACACCATCAACCACACCATCAACCACACCAGCAACCACACCATCAACCACACCATCAACCACACCAGCAACCACACCATCAACCACACCATCAACCACACCAGCAACCATACCATCAACCACACCATCAACCACCCAGACCAGGTGAGACAGGAGGTCAGAGGAAGGAGAGCGAGGAGAGATACGTCGAGAACGCCATCATCCAGACCATAGGTGAGATCATCAACCACACCAGCAACCATACCAGCAACCACACCATCAACCACCCAGACTAGGTGAGACAGGAGGTCAGAGGAAGGAGAGCGAGGAGAGATACGTCCAGAACGCCATCATCCAGACCATAGGTGAGACCAGCAACCACACCAGCAACCACACCAGCAACCACACCATCAACCACACCATCAACCACCCAGACCAGGTGAGACAGGAGGTCAGAGGAAGGAGAGCGAGGAGAGATACGTCCAGAACGCCATCATCCAGACCATAGGTGAGACCAGCAACCACACCATCAACCACACCAGCAACCACACCATCAACCACACCAGCAACCATACCATCAACCACACCATCAACCACCCAGACCAGGTGAGACAGGAGGTCAGAGGAAGGAGAGCGAGGAGAGATACGTCGAGAACGCCATCATCCAGACCATAGGTGAGACCATCAACCACACCAGCAACCACACCATCAACCACCCAGACTAGGTGAGACAGGAGGTCAGAGGAAGGAGAGCGAGGAGAGATACGTCCAGAACGCCATCATCCAGACCATAGGTGAGACCAGCAACCACACCAGCAACCACACCAGCAACCACACCATCAACCACACCATCAACCACCCAGACCAGGTGAGACAGGAGGTCAGAGGAAGGAGAGCGAGGAGAGATACGTCCAGAACGCCATCATCCAGACCATAGGTGAGACCAGCAACCACACCATCAACCATACCATCAACCACACCATCAACCACCCAGACCAGGTGAGACAGGAGGTCAGAGGAAGGAGAGCGAGGAGAGATACGTCCAGAACGCCATCATCCAGACCATAGGTGAGACCAGCAACCACACCATCAACCACACCAGCAACCACACCATCAACCACCCAGACCAGGTGAGACAGGAGGTCAGAGGAAGGAGAGCGAGGAGAGATACGTCCAGAACGCCATCATCCAGACCATAGGTGAGACCAGCAACCACACCATCAACCACACCAGCAACCACACCATCAACCACACCACCAACCACCCAGACCAGGTGAGACAGGAGGTCAGAGGAAGGAGAGCGAGGAGAGATACGTCGAGAACGCCATCATCCAGACCATAGGTGAGACCATCAACCACACCAGCAACCATACCAGCAACCACACCATCAACCACCCAGACCAGGTGAGACAGGAGGTCAGAGGAAGGAGAGCGAGGAGAGATACGTCGAGAACGCCATCATCCAGACCATAGGTGAGATCATCAACCACACCAGCAACCATACCAGCAACCACACCATCAACCACCCAGACTAGGTGAGACAGGAGGTCAGAGGAAGGAGAGCGAGGAGAGATACGTCCAGAACGCCATCATCCAGACCATAGGTGAGACCAGCAACCACACCATCAACCACACCATCAACCACACCAGCAACCACACCATCAACCACACCATCAACCACCCAGACCAGGTGAGACAGGAGGTCAGAGGAAGGAGAGCGAGGAGAGATACGTCCAGAACGCCATCATCCAGACCATAGGTGAGACCAGCAACCACACCATCAACCACACCAGCAACCATACCATCAACCACACCATCAACCACCCAGACCAGGTGAGACAGGAGGTCAGAGGAAGGAGAGCGAGGAGAGATACGTCGAGAACGCCATCATCCAGACCATAGGTGAGACCATCAACCACACCAGCAACCATACCAGCAACCACACCATCAACCACCCAGACCAGGTGAGACAGGAGGTCAGAGGAAGGAGAGCGAGGAGAGATACGTCCAGAACGCCATCATCCAGACCATAGGTGAGACCAGCAACCACACCATCAACCACACCAGCAACCACACCATCAACCACACCACCAACCACCCAGACCAGGTGAGACAGGAGGTCAGAGGAAGGAGAGCGAGGAGAGATACGTCGAGAACGCCATCATCCAGACCATAGGTGAGACCATCAACCACACCAACAACCATACCAGCAACCACACCATCAACCACCCAGACTAGGTGAGACAGGAGGTCAGAGGAAGGAGAGCGAGGAGAGATACGTCCAGAACGCCATCATCCAGACCATAGGTGAGACCATCAACCACACCAGCAACCATACCAGCAACCACACCATCAACCACCCAGACCAGGTGAGACCAGAGTCTACACGACCCAGGAAAACAGACACTCGTGGATGTGCACCAAATGTCCAGGTCCCACTACAGAACCATGTGCACCTATGGTCCAGGTCCCACTACAGAACCATGTGTACCTGTTGTCCTGGTCCCACTATAGAACCATGTGTACCTATTGTCCAGGTCTCATTACAGAACCATGTGTACCTATGGTCCAGGTCCCACTATAGAACCATGTGTACCTATGGTCCAGGTCCCACTACAGAACCATGTGTACCTATGGTCCAGGTCCCACTATAGAACCATGTGTACCTATGGTCCAGGTCCCACTAAAGAACCATGTGTACCTATGGTCCAGGTCCCACTATAGAACCATGTGTACCTATGGTCCAGGTCCCACTAAAGAACCATGTGTACCTATTGTCCAGGTTTCATTACAGAACCATGTGTACCTATGGTCTATATGTGATTTTTCGTGTGTACCAGGGTTCTTTGGGGGGAACCTGCCGGACTATCAAAGAGCGGAGGTCATGATGTTCATCATGGGGAAGGTCCCCGTCTACGGGACGCCCTGCCACAACCTGGACACCATCAAGATCGGGTCAGTGCCTCAGTACTGAGGCTGTAGACCCAGGACTGAGGCTGTAGACCCAGGACTGAGGCTGTAGACCCAGGACTGAGGCTGTAGACCCAGGACTGAGGCTGTAGACCCAGGACTGAGGCTGTAGACCCAGGACTGAGGCTGTAGACCCAGGACTGAGGCTGTAGACCCAGGACTGAGGCTGTAGACCCAGGACTGAGGCTGTAGAGCCAGGACTGAGGCTGTAGACCCAGGACTGAGGCTGTAGACCCAGGACAGAGGCTGTAGACCCAGGACTGAGGCTGTAGACCCAGGACTGAGGCTGTAGACCCAGGACTGAGGCTGTAGACCAGGACTGAGGCTGTAGGCCAGAGACTGAGGCTGTAGACCCAGGACTAGAGGCTGTAGACCCAGGACTGAGGCTGTAGACCCAGGACTGAGGCTGTAGACCCAGGACTGAGGCTGTAGACCCAGGACTAGAGGCTGTAGACCCAGGACTGAGGCTGTAGACCCAGGACTGAGGCTGTAGACCCAGGACTGAGGCTGTAGACCCAGGACTCAGGCTGTAGACCCAGGACTGAGGCTGTAGACCCAGGACTGAGGCTGTAGACCCAGGACTGAGGCTGTAGACCCAGGACTGAGGCTGTAGACCCAGGACTGAGGCTGTAGACCCAGGACTGAGGCTGTAGACCCAGGACTGAGGCTGTAGACCCAGGACTGAGGCTGTAGACCCAGGACTGAGGCTGTAGACCCAGGACTGAGGCTGTAGAGCCAGGACTGAGGCTGTAGACCCAGGACTGAGGCTGTAGACCCAGGACAGAGGCTGTAGACCCAGGACTGAGGCTGTAGACCCAGGACTGAGGCTGTAGACCCAGGACTGAGGCTGTAGACCAGGACTGAGGCTGTAGGCCAGAGACTGAGGCTGTAGACCCAGGACTAGAGGCTGTAGACCCAGGACTGAGGCTGTAGATCCAGGACTGAGGCTGTAGACCCCGGACTGAGGCTGTAGACCCAGGACTGAGGCTGTAGACCCAGGACTGAGGCTGTAGACCCAGGACTGAGGCTGTAGACCCAGGACTGAGGCTGTAGACCCAGGACTCAGGCTGTAGACCCAGGACTGAGGCTGTAGACCCAGGACTGAGGCTGTAGACCCAGGACTGAGGCTGTAGACCCAGGACTGAGGCTGTAGACCCAGGACTGAGGCTGTAGACCCAGGACTGAGGCTGTAGACCCAGGACTGAGGCTGTAGACCAGGACTGAGGCTGTAGATCCAGGACTGAGGCTGTAGACCCAGGACTGAGGCTGTAGACCCAGGACTGAGGCTGTAGACCCAGGACTGAGGCTGTAGACCCAGGACTGAGGCTGTAGACCCAGGACTGAGGCTGTAGACCCAGGACTGAGGCTGTAGACCCAGGACTGAGGCTGTAGACCCAGGACTAGAGGCTGTAGACCCAGGACTGAGGCTGTAGACCCAGGACTGAGGCTGTAGACCCAGGACTGAGGCTGTAGACCCAGGACTCAGGCTGTAGACCCAGGACTGAGGCTGTAGACCCAGGACTGAGGCTGTAGACCCAGGACTGAGGCTGTAGACCCAGGACTGAGGCTGTAGACCCAGGACTGAGGCTGTAGACCCAGGACTGAGGCTGTAGACCCAGGACTGAGGCTGTAGACCAGGACTGAGGCTGTAGATCCAGGACTGAGGCTGTAGACCCAGGACTGAGGCTGTAGACCCAGGACTGAGGCTGTAGACCCAGGACTGAGGCTGTAGACCCAGGACTGAGGCTGTAGACCCAGGACTGAGGCTGTAGACCCAGGACTGAGGCTGTAGACCCAGGACTGAGGCTGTAGACCCAGGACTGAGGCTGTAGACCCATGGTGTGTTGCAGACTCCAGGGGACCAGGCGTATCCAGACCATGCTCCTCAGCTCACTCATCATGGTTAGTGCTCCTCCTGCAACACATTTATCTCTGGACAGGACCTCCTCCTCTTCATCTCCTTCTTCTCCCTCTCCCCCTGCTCCTCCTCCTCCTCCTCCTCAGGTAACGTCTGGCTTTAAGTCTAAGTCCATGTCTGCGGCCCTGCCCTCCTCCTTCCTGGAGCCTCTTCTGTCGGTGTCTCTGATGGAGGACAGTGAGCTGCGACAACTGGTGCTGGAGATACTGCACAACATCATCGATCGCCACGACAACCGCGCCAAGCTGCGAGGCATCAGGTGGGTCCCTGTGCTCCTCTCAGTCCCTGTGCTCCTCAGAGTCCCAGCAGGAGTCCAGTCCCTGTGCTCCTCTCAGTCCCTGTGCTCCTCAGAGTCCCAGCAGGAGTCCAGTCCCTGTGCTCCTCTCAGTCCCTGTGCTCCTCAGAGTCCCAGCAGGAGTCCAGTCCCTGTGCTCCTCTCAGTCCCTGTGCTCCTCAGAGTCCCAGCAGGAGGCCAGTCCCTGTGCTCCTCAGAGTCCCAGCAGGAGGCCAGTCCCTGTGCTCCTCTCAGTCCCTGTGCTCCTCAGAGTCCCAGCAGGAGGCCAGTCCCTGTGCTCCTCAGAGTCCCAGCAGGAGGCCAGTCCCTGTGCTCCTCAGAGTCCCAGCAGGAGGCCAGTCCCTGTGCTCCTCAGAGTCCCAGCAGGAGGCCAGTCACTGTGCTCCTCAGAGTCCCAGCAGGAGGCCAGTCCCTGTGCTCCTCAGAGTCCCAGCAGGAGGCCAGTCCCTGTGATCCTCAGAGTCCCAGCAGGAGGCCAGTCCCTGTGCTCCTCAGAGTCCCAGCAGGAGGCCAGTCCCTGTGCTCCTCAGAGTCCCAGCAGGAGGCCAGTCCCTGTGCTCCTCAGAGTCCCAGCAGGAGGCCAGTCACTGTGCTCCTCAGAGTCCCAGCAGGAGTCCAGTCCCTGTGCTCCTCAGAGTCCCAGCAGGAGTCCAGTCCCTGTGCTCCTCAGAGTCCCAGCAGGAGACCAGTCCCTGTGCTCCTCAGAGTCCCAGCAGGAGGCCAGTCCCTGTGCTCCTCAGAGTCCCAGCAGGAGGCCAGTCACTGTGCTCCTCAGAGTCCCAGCAGGAGGCCAGTCCCTGTGCTCCTCTCAGTCATGTAGATATGCAGTATAGAAACAGGGTGTGTTGCTGTGATCCAGGGTGTGTTGCTGTGATCCAGGTTGTGTTGCTGTGATCCAGGTTGTGTTGCTGTGATCCAGGGTGTGTTGCTGTGATCCAGGTTGTGTTGCTGTGATCCAGGTTGTGTGGCTGTGATCCAGGGTGTGTTGCTGTGATCCAGGTTGTGTGGCTGTGATCCAGGTTGTGTTGCTGTGATCCAGGGTGTGTTGCTGTGATCCAGGTTGTGTTGCTGTGATCCAGGTTGTGTTGCTGTGATCCAGGTTGTGTGGCTGTGATCCAGGTTGTGTGGCTGTGATCCAGGGTGTGTTGCTTTAACCCTGAACCTTGTGTTTCAGAATAATCCCGAATGTTGCAGCTCTGAAAATCAAACGAGAGAAGATTTCGAAGCAGGACGTGGCCTTCATGAAGAAGGTGTGTGTGTATGGTATGGTTTTTATTTTTACAGGGACAGTGTACAGTAAACATTAGCCAAAAGGAGAGATGCTTTGTACCAGGTTGTAGCAGCAGTGCTAATTTACACCTGTAGTCCCTGAGCAGGTTGTGTGTATCCATCTGTGTGTGTGTGTGTGTGTGTGTGTGTGTGTGTGTGTCTGGGTGTATCGATCTGTGTGTGTGTGTGTTTCTGTGTGTGTATCCATCTGTGTGTGTGTGTGTTTCTGTGTCTGTGTGTTTCTGTGTGTATCCATCTGTGTGTGTGTGTGTGTGTGTTTTTGTGTGTATCCATCTGTGTGTGTGTGTGTGTGTGTTTCTGTGTCTGTGTGTTTCTGTGTGTATCCATCTGTGTGTGTGTGTGTTTTTGTGTGTGTGTGTCTGACAATGTCTTGAGACTGATATAGTCACTGGAGTTAGCATTAGCGCCCCCAGCTGGGCTGAGTGTTGTACTACAGCACTACTGTGGCCTCGATCCAGAACAGCCGAGTCCGTCTGTAAAAACCTGTGTCCTAAAATGTGTTATACAAATAATATATAATAAGTGTGTGTGTGTGTCTCTGTCTCTCTGTCTCTCTGTGTGTGTGCAGCACGGGCAGCAGTTGTATCGACACATCTACCTGAGCTGTAAAGAGGAGGAGAACAACCATAAGAACCTGGAGCTGCTCTTCACCACTTTAGCCATTCTCACCATTGAACTGGCCAACGAGGAGGTGGTGGTCGACCTGATCCGCCTCAGCCTGGCTCTGCAGGTCACACACACACACACACACACACACACACAGACACACACACACACACACACATACACGTTTTTGTTACCTGGTGGGTCCCTTTGACAGGGCCGTTCAGAATGGGACCCATAGACATAATCTTTTTTTACCAAGACTTTAAGTAATACAAAACAGTCAATAGAAACCAAACAACTATTTTAAAGGAATTTTATTTTAGATTTTGTTTTCGAATTGCAGTGATTCTATTTTTGACATAGAATTTAATGCCACTCCATGTCCGATGTCTAAGGTCATCTGGTGAGGCATTAATGCAGGCCAGGCAGTGAGACTTCCCAGGGACCTTTCCAGTCTGTATGAAAGGTGTCATGGTCTTCTCCACAGCCTTCACCTCAGATGCAGACCATGGCTTTCTCTAACGTTCTAGGGAGAGAAATAAAAATATATTAGCAATATACACTCCCAGGGTGAGGACCAAGCAGCCTGGCTGTAATCCCCCACCTGGTACACTTACCAGAAGGGGCACTGCCACTACCATGGGGTGCATCTGGATGAATGGTTGAAGGTTCTCCGCTTGAAGTTTCTTTTAGCCCGTCCGTTTGTGAGAGGATCTCTACTGCTCTCCCTGTCGCACAGAAAATAAAAATACAAGTGGCCTTTAGGGGAAAAAAATCATACATATTTTAATAATATCAAGAATTACCTTCAGGCTCAATTTGTATCTGGTCGAGGCTCTTTCCTTCGAATTCCGTCACTCTTCCCTGCTCCATGGCCATCAACACTTTGCTGATTTTGGCCAGCTCCAGTGTCCCCTCTGGTAGTCTGTAATATTGCCTGTGGATGCGAATGTCATGGCCGAGGAAGTTGGCAAGTATGTCCATCTCATTCTCTTTCATATTGAGAACTGTAGACATAGTAGCTATGTGCTTTCTAAGTTTGGTTGAGGATAGCATCTCTGGATGCACCGCACCACATTCTTTGGCTACCTGGCGTAGGGAGTCTGATCCCCTGATGTGGGTGTCTGCGCCCGGGCGGGAAAAGAAGTATGGGTTATGGTCAGAGATGGAACAGGCCCTTCTGTTCTCCACCAGCACCTCCATCCAAGCAATCATTTCAGGAGTCAAAAGAACCGGCACTTTCCGACTTCTTTTCCCTTTAATTTCAATGCGTTGAAAATGCTGACACAGCTTTTTCTCAAGTTGGGACAGTCCCAGAGCAATGTCAGAATGGATCCCAGTCTTACTTCTTAAGGTAAAGGCTGTCAGTGGCATCTTTGAAACCTCACCTTCCCTTCTTCGATTGAAAATGATGACCTCACAAAGAGTCAAAACTGCCAGTTTAGACCAATGCTTAGACGTTGGCTCACTTATTAGGGTTTGCACATATTCAGGTCGACATACCTCAATATGTGCATGCATGGCTCTAACGTCCTCAGTCAGAGGGAGCAGGTCCGGAGTGTTCCACTTGGCTTGCCGGAGGGTCTGTAGGGCAGCAGAAGAAACACAGACGTCCCACCTCTTCTCAAAAAGCAGCCGGCTTCGTTGGAGGTTTTTAATAAATAGTTCATCAACACAATGCTCCATTTTTGAGTCACATTCAAGAATATCTGCTAGCTTTCTGAGGCTATGGCCGAGTTTGAGGGCCAAGGATGGAGTCTTGTATTGATTTGTTTCCTCATCATATCCAGCCACAGACCTGACTGCATCAATCACATGGTTAAAGTTGGAAGGAATAAAGAAATCCTTCATTGTTTTCAGTTTCCTTGCGGTTTTTTCTTCGTTAATTAACCTACCGACTTCTCATTTTCTGCCTAATGTAATCATGCTTAGTCTTATCATGCCCGTGTTTTAAGTACAGGTGCTCTCCGAGTCTCAGAATCCCCTTTTCTGCTTTGACAACACCCGTGACCTCATCCTGATGCATTGCCGAAATTAAAGACCACAGCTTTTTGCTGATGCCCTCCGGTACAGGCTGGGCTAGGGAGCAGAGGGACTGGACCCTACTTCTACCTGGTTTAGCCTGGTTTAGCCTGGGCATCTTTCTGTGAAAGCCGGCACCTGGCCACATGCCTCCACACAATGCCCCACAGTCTATACAGTGCAAAAACTCACTGGATTTAACTGGGGAATTTGGCTGTTTAGCTGGGACTAAAGTTCCAATGCCGGCCTTTAAAACCTCAACATTGTGCTCACGGTTTCCACTATTCCTGATCAAATCAAACTGAAGTTTACGTGCTTTAGATTTCACAGGTAGAGCCAATGCTCTGGCTACGTCACTTTCATTTCCATGTTTTCTAGTCAAATGACGGGACATTTTGTGGCAGGACATTGAACAGTAGAGGCAGAAGTGTCTCTTGCTGTAAACTCTCCCCCCATTTTTCTTCTTTTGCAGCTGCATGATAACAATCTTATTTGCCTTTGGTTCGTCACTTTCCGAGTCTTGAAGAAAAGTGTTTTTGATTTTTCTTTTTCCATACTTTTTTACAGGTTTCTTCTTGACAGTTAAATCGTCAGAATCTGAGTCGACTTCATCAATTAGGGACTCTTGACTAAGCTGCACAAACAACAAATAATTTGTAATCATTCTATATAACAATTTGAAGTCATGACTTGTAGTCAGCACTTACCAGTGGTTTGTAAGCGTGCGCTTCAGTGTGCTGCTCTGTGATTGGCTGCAGCCTAATGAACCACACACTTGCACCTTTTTCTAGCCTGACACCTGATTTCCTCTGTTGTGCGGCTCCATGATTGGCTCCAGCCTCTGTTGTGCTGCTCCATGATTGGCTCCAGCCTCTGTTGTGCTGCTCCATGATTGGCTCCAGCCTCTGTTGTGCTGCTCCATGATTGGCTCCAGCCTCTGTTGTGCTGCTCCATGATTGGCTCCAGCCTCTGTTGTGCTGCTCCATGATTGGCTCCAGCCTCTGTTGTGCTGCTCCATGATTGGCTCCAGCCTGCTGGACTGAAATTGCCCCAGTGTGCCCCTCCTTGATATCCCGCAACCCACCACCAGGGTTCCGACACATAACACACTTTTTTCAGGAAAGTAAACCTCCAGGGGTCCTTTCCATATTTTTACAGAGACTGCATAAGGACCGTTAGAAAAGCATTACCCATTGATTATTAAGCTTGGACCAGTGGGGTCCGGTGTTCGGGCCCCACCACGTAAAACCAGTCCCCATGACGTGAGCGGAATCTCAGGTTATGGAACCCACCAGGAGTTGAAAACAAGTGCACACACACAAGTACACACACAAGTACACACACACACACACACACACACACAGATACATACACATACAAACACGGACACACAGATACATACACACAAAGATACACACACACTCACTCACCCACACACAGACGCACACACACACAGACACACACACTCAGACAGACACACAGACACACACACACTCACACAAACACACACACACACACACACACACACACACACACACACACACACGGCTCAGGTCTTTTGGCGTGCAGGGGCCACTCCTGAAGACCTTCTATGACTCTGTGGTGGAGCCTCTTGTACGGTGTGGTCTGCTGGAACAGCAGCATCACAGAGAGGGACAGGAAGAAGCTGGAACATCAGGAAGTCCAGCTCAGTCCTGGGCTGTTCCCTGGACACAGTGCAGCAGGTGGGGGACAGGAGGGTCCTGAGCAAACTAACATCTATGCTGGACCATGACTGTCGCCCCCTGCAGGACACTCTCTCTGCTCTGGAGAGCAGCTTCAGTGACAGACTAATTCACCCTCGCTGTGTGAAGGAGAGGTTCCGTAGGTCTTTCCTTCCTGCTGTTGTCAGACTGTACAATAAGAACTGCTGAGCCTGTAAATTTAATTCATCTGTAATTAAGTAAATTATTAAATCATGTGCAATGTGCAATACTGCAACTTCAGAATGTCACAGAACAATGTCACTTTACCTCATGTCACTTTACTTATATACTTTTTATCCTGCACTATTTAACTGTACAGTATATAACTGCACTACTACATATATATATTTTGACTGGTATTGAAGCATTTTCAGCATCTACAGCTAGTTATGTTAGCTAAGAAACATAGCTACTACTTGTATATATTGTGTGCTCCCTGTGTGCTCTTACTACTGTCCTGTCTGTGCGCTGCAACAACGAAATTTCCCCACTGTGGGACGAATAAAGGAAAACTTATCTTATACAGATGGGGCGACAGTAGCTCAGTTGGTAGAGCATTGGCCTTAAGGCCTGAAGGTCGTGGGTTCAATTCCCACCTCTATACCTTCTCCACCGACTCCCGCTGATGACTGCTGTCGTTGTGTCCTTGGGCAAGACACTTAACCCCACTTTGCCCAAAAGCTCCCACTGAAAGATCAAGGCTATGCTCACCCTCAGAGAGCAGCCGTCCTCCTGTGGACTCACCACCTGCAGAGGGTCAGTGAGGGGCTGGTGCTATGAGACTTGGGTGGCATCTCTGACTGCCACCCCCCTGACCCAGAAATGGATTAAAGGGTAGAAAATGGATGGATGGATGGATCTTATACAGATACACCCACACAGACACACACACACACACACAGACACACAGACACACAGACACAAAGACACACCCACTCAGACACACACACACACAGATACACCCACACAGACACACACACCCACACACACACACACAAATTATGCCTTTTTTCATGAATAAGATGCAGCAGAATGTGAGGTGGAAATGAAAGGCTTTTATGTGCGCCTAATTGTGCGATCATAAAGTCTCTTCATTATTTGTGTGTAGTTTTAAGAGTCAGTTTATGAAAAGGCCGTCGTCATGGAAACCAGGTGACAAACTTCACACATCACCACAAAAACACCACTACTACACACTGACACTTTGTGTGTGTGTGTCTCTGTGTGTGTCTCTTGTGTGTGTGTGTGTCTCTTGTGTGTATGTGTCTGTGTGTGTGTGTCTCTGTGTGTGTCCAGGACCTGGCGGTGGTGAATGAGGACAGCCTGTCCATGTGGGGGCGCTGTGCTCTCATGGCGCTGGTTGCTGCGTACCTCAACTTCCTGAGTCAGATGATCGCAAACTCTGCCTTCTGCCAACACGTCAGCAAGGTCTCACCCCTGCCTCACCCTCTGTCTCACCCCTGTCTCACCCCTGCCTCACCCTCTGTCTCACCCCTGTCTCACCCCTGTCTCACCCCTGCCTCACTCTCTGTCTCACCCCTGTCTCACCCCTGTCTCACTCTCTGTCTCACCCCTGTCTCACTCTCTGTCTCACCCCTGTCTCACCCCTGTCTCACCCCTGTCTCACTCTCTGTCTCACCCCTGTCTCACTCTCTGTCTCACCCCTGTCTCACTCTCTGTCTCGCTCTCTGTCTCACCCCTGTCTCACTCTCGGTCTCACCCCTGTCTCTCCCCTGTCTCACTCTCTGTCTCACCCCTGTCTCACCCCTGTCTCACTCTCTGTCTCACCCCTGTCTCACCCCTGCCTCACCCTCTGTCTCACCCCTGTCTCACCCCTGTCTCACTCTCTGTCTCACCCCTGTCTCACCCTCTGTCTCACCCCTGTCTCACTCTCTGTCTCACCCCTGCCACACTCCTGTCTCACCCCTGCCTCACTCTCTGTCTCACCCCTGCATCACTCTCTGTCTCACCCCTGTCTCACTCTCTGTCTCACCCATGTCTCACCCCTGCCTCACCCTGTCTCACCCCTGTCTCACTCTCTGTCTCACCCATGTCTCACCCCTGCCTCACCCTCTGTCTCACCCCTGCCTCACCCTCTGTCTCACCCCTGCCTCACCCTCTGTCTCACCCCTGCCTCACTCCTGTCTCACCCCTGCCTCACTCTCTGTCTCATCCCTGCCTCACCCTCTGTCTCACCCCTGCCTCACTCTCTGTCTCACCCCTGTCTCACTCTCTGTCTCGCCCATGTCTCACCCTCTGTCTCACCCCTGCCTCACTCTCTGTCTCACCCCTGCCTCACCCTCTGTCTCACCCCTGCCTCACTCTCTGTCTCACCCCTGTCTCACTCTCTGTCTCACCCATGTCTCACCCCTGCCTCACCCTTTGTCTCACCCCTGCCTCACTCTCTGTCTCACCCATGTCTCACCCCTGCCTCACCCTCTGTCTCACCCCTGCCTCACCCTCTGTCTCACCCCTGCCTCACCCTCTGTCTCACCCCTGCCTCACTCCTGTCTCACCCCTGCCTCACTCTCTGTCTCATCCCTGCCTCACCCTCTGTCTCACCCCTGCCTCACTCTCTGTCTCACCCCTGTCTCACCCTCTGTCTCACCCCTGCCTCACCCTCTGTCTCACCCCTGTCTCACCCTCTGTCTCACCCCTGTCTCACCCTCTGTCTCACCCCTGCCTCACCCTCTGTCTCACCCCTGCCTCACTCTCTGTCTCACCCCTGTGTGTACACACACATGGTACACACACTTTACACTTGCATGGTAAGGCAAGTATATTTGTATAGCACAATTCATACACAAGGCAACTCAAAGTGCTGAATAAAACAAAGCATTAAAATCATAAATAATCACAGAACATTAAAAAGATAAAAATATAAAATCCCTCAGTTGTAGCACAGTTAAACAGAACTGTCTTTAACCTGGTTTTAAACATTGTCAGAGAGGAGGCCTGTCTCACATCTTCAGGAAGATTGTTCCAGATTTTAGCAGCATTAATCTGAAAAGCAGCCTCCCCATGTTTAGTTCTGACTCTGGGCACTAACAGGAGTCCAGTCCCTGTGCTCCTCAGAGTCCCAGCAGGAGTCCAGTCCCTGTGCTCCTCAGAGTCCCAGCAGGAGTCCAGTCCCTGTGCTCCTCAGAGTCCCAGCAGGAGTCCAGTCCCTGTGCTCCTCAGAGTCCCAGCAGGAGTCCAGTCCCTGTGCTCCTCAGAGTCCCAGCAGGAGGCCAGTCCCTGTGCTCCTCAGAGTCCCAGCAGGAGTCCAGTCCCTGTGCTCCTCAGAGTCCCAGCAGGAGGCCAGTCCCTGTGCTCCTCAGAGTCCCAGCAGGAGTCCAGTCCCTGTGCTCCTCAGAGTCCCAGCAGGAGTCCAGTCCCTGTGCTCCTCAGAGTCCCAGCAGGAGTCCAGTCCCTGTGCTCCTCAGAGTCCCAGCAGGAGTCCAGTCCCTGTGCTCCTCAGAGTCCCAGCAGGAGGCCAGTCCCTGTGCTCCTCAGAGTCCCAGCAGGAGTCCAGTCCCTGTGCTCCTCAGAGTCCCAGCAGGAGTCCAGTCCCTGTGCTCCTCAGAGTCCCAGCAGGAGTCCAGTCCCTGTGCTCCTCAGAGTCCCAGCAGGAGTCCAGTCCCTGTGCTCCTCAGAGTCCCAGCAGGAGTCCAGTCCCTGTGCTCCTCAGAGTCCCAGCAGGAGGCCAGTCCCTGTGCTCCTCAGAGTCCCAGCAGGAGTCCAGTCCCTGTGCTCCTCAGAGTCCCAGCAGGAGTCCAGTCCCTGTGCTCCTCAGAGTCCCAGCAGGAGTCCAGTCCCTGTGCTCCTCAGAGTCCCAGCAGGAGTCCAGTCCCTGTGCTCCTCAGAGTCCCAGCAGGAGGCCAGTCCCTGTGCTCCTCAGAGTCCCAGCAGGAGTCCAGTCCCTGTGCTCCTCAGAGTCCCAGCAGGAGTCCAGTCCCTGTGCTCCTCAGAGTCCCAGCAGGAGTCCAGTCCCTGTGCTCCTCAGAGTCCCAGCAGGAGTCCAGTCCCTGTGCTCCTCAGAGTCCGGGCTGGTTCATATGGGACTAACATGTCACTAATATATTTTGGTGCGAGGCCATGGAGAGACTTGTAACAAACAGAGCTGTTTTAAAGTCTATTCTCTGAGCCACAGGAAGCCAGTGCAGAGACCTGAGGACTGGACTAATGTGGTCGTACTTCCTGGTTCTAGTCAGGACTAATGTGGTCGTACTTCCTGGTTCTAGTCAGGACTAATGTGGTCGTACTTCCTGGTTCTAGTCAGGACTAATGTGGTCGTACTTCCTGGTTCTAGTCAGGACTAATGTGGTCGTACTTCCTGGTTCTAGTCAGGACTAATGTGGTCGTACTTCCTGGTTCTAGTCAGGACTAATGTGGTCGTACTTCCTGGTTCTTGTCAGGACTAATGTGGTCGTACTTCCTGGTTCTAGTCAGGACTAATGTGGTCGTACTTCCTGGTTCTAGTCAGGACTAATGTGGTCGTACTTCCTGGTTCTAGTCTGGACTACTGTGGTCGTACTTCCTGGTTCTAGTCAGGACTAATGTGGTCGTACTTCCTGGTTCTAGTCAGGACTAATGTGGTCGTACTTCCTGGTTCTAGTCAGGACTAATGTGGTCGTACTTCCTGGTTCTAGTCAGGACTAATGTGGTCGTACTTCCTGGTTCTAGTCAGGACTAATGTGGTCGTACTTCCTGGTTCTAGTCAGGACTAATGTGGTCGTACTTCCTGGTCCTAGTCAGGACTGGAGCTGCTGCATTTTGAATGTACTGCAGCTGTTTTACAGCCTGTTTGGACAGACCTGTGAGCAGGCCATTGCAGTAGTCTAACCTACTGGAGACAAATGCATGGATAAGAATCTCCAAGTCTGCTTTAGACACTATGTTTTTGATCCTGGCAATGTTTTTTAGATGGTAAAAAGCTGCTGATGTTACTGATTTGATGTGGCTATTAAAATTTAAGTCTGAGTCCAGTATTACCCCTAGATTTCTGACCTTGTTTGAAGGTTTTAGGGAGAGAGACTGTAGGTGACAGATGACGCTCTCTCTTTGTTTCTGGGGACCAAAGACAATCATTTCAGTTTTGTCTGCGTTTAGCTGAAGGAAGTTGTTTTGCATCCACTCACTGATCTGTTGGATACAGTGAAGGAGTGAGTCCACTGGTCCATGTTCTCCTGCAGTCAGTGAGACATAGATCTGAGTGTCGTCTGCATAGTTATGATAGGAAACTTTGTTTCTGCGTATTAACTGACCTAACGGCAGCATGTAGAGATTGAACAGAAGAGGTCCCAGGATCGACCCCTGTGGTACTCCACAGGTCAGGGCCATATGATCTGAGACACAGTTTCCAATCTCCACAAAGTACTTCCTGTCTTCAAGGTAAGACCTAAACCAACTTAGGGCGGTGCCAGCGACGCCAACCCAGTCCTCTAATCTCTGTAAGAGGATCTCATGGTCGACAGTGTCAAAGGCAGCACTCAGATCTAACAGGATTAGGATTGAGACTTTGCCTGCGTCAGTGTTCAGCCGGATATCGTTTGTAACCTTAACGAGAGCAGTCTCAGTGCTGTGGTGGGGTCTAAAGCCGGACTGAAACATATCAAATGAGTTGTTGATTATAAGAAATCTAGTAAGCTGTAGGTAGACAACTTTCTCAAGGACTTTCCCATAAATGGCAGATTTGAGATGGGACGATAGTTGTTAAGTACCGTAGCATCGAGACTGCTCTTTTTTAGCAGGGGCCTGATGACTGCAGTTTTCAGGGCCTTTGGGAATATTCCAGAATGAAGGGACATGTTTACTATCTGTGTGAGTGAAGGTAACAGACTGCTCAGAACAGACTTCAGAAATCTAGTGGGTAGTACATCCAGGCTGCATGTGGAGGAGCTCAAACTGGAGATTATCTCTTGGACAGTTTGATCATTTACAGGTGCAAAGTGAGTTAGCTCAGAGAGCCTTTCTGGCTGTTGGATGGTTATCTGTGGATTGGAGACAATGGCGTTTTTGATGCCTTGAACCTTGTCATTGAAAAAATGTGAAAACTCATTACATTTACGTTTGGAAGTTAGCTCTAATGGCATTTGAACAGGGGGGTTTGTTAATCTATTAACTGTTGAAAACAGAACACGCAGATTGTTGCTGCAGCCTTCAATCATTTCAGAAAAATACCTTTCTCTCGTACTACGTAGCACCTGGTTAAACTCGCACAACTTATCTTTGAAGATCTCGTAATCAACCTGGAGGTTGGACTTGCGCCACTTCCGCTCGACCCTCCGGCACTTTCTCTTCAGTGCTCTGACCGAGTCTGCTTTAGCCCACGGCGCCTTCTGCTTATTTTTCACTATTTTAACCTTCACAGGGGCAACGGTATCCAGAACATTCAAAACACTAGAGGTGACAGAGTTAAACAGTTCATCTACAGTAGAATACGGTGCATTCTCAAAAAAAAACACAGAAATGATCCGAAAGAGCAACATCGACCACGTCTATGTTACACTTCTTTGAATGATGGGCCAACTCATTCATGTGCAGCACATTTAAATTTAATTCAGGCTCTGCAAAACACGTAAAACAGACATTGAATGCAGGAGCTCACTCGGTGCAGTCTCATCACGTTAAGTACTAACTGTACTTCTCCTATACATTTAAGTATAATTACACACATAAATACTGTACTGAAATCTCTATCTGCAATATGATCAAAACACACACACAAAAAAACACATTCCTCTCAATATTATTAATTATAGATACTGTTCTAATATTTCCCAGCTTACAATCATGTCATTACCAGTATGAAGTCACATTGTATGGAGAATACGCTCTGCCCTATCACATTAGTCATCCACCTATCTCACCTTGACAAAGGACCCGTGTTTTATTTTAAATAAACTCTAAATTCAGTTTGACTCTTAAGAAACATGTTAACATTGAGCCATCTTTAACCACTATCAAATATACAATTCTTACAAAAAAATACAGTTTCAGATACTTTTGTGGCCTACCAACGGTTACACTGTTGACTCGCGGCAACCCCAACTGATACAATCACCCCAAAGTATCCCTTTTGCCCCTTTAGCTCAATCAAAGGCACTCAAAGCTGTACACAATACATGTCACCACTGTTAGCCATCATCTGTGTGTTTTTAACAAACCAGCCTACCTGCAAAACACGTAAAACAGACATTGAATGCAGGAGCTCACTCGGTGCAGTCTCATCACGTTAAGTACTAACTGTACTTCTAGCGTTGCCCCGGCAGCAACCACTAGTGAAAGCACCAAGCGCCCTCTGCTGGCGGAACCAAGCATTGCATTTCAAAATTATGTACAATAAAACGGTGGTTATAAAATAAAACTATGGGGTGCAACTATTATGGTATGTAATAATATTACACAGGGCTACACTCTTCCCCACAAAATAAAATGTCTCCTGGCATTTCTATAAATACAGTCTCTTAATACACTTGGACGGACCACGGTCTCCAAAAACAGTCAGTCGCAATAACCTGAGTCTTTACCTTATTGTCTCTCTGAACTAGAGTCGGCTGGCCTAGCGTGTTGTAACTCAGTACCTTTGGGGGCTGCCGCTGTCGTTGAGGTCGCTGTGTCTCAGTCATACCTCCACTGACAGCAGCGTTGTCTGTCGGGGACTCACCACGCCCTGGCCAGTCAAGGGATTGCACTGGAACGTTCTCTTTGCTCTGTAGTGGCAAATCCTCTTCGCTCTGTAGTGGCAAATCCTCTTCGCTCTGTAGTGGCAAATACTCTTCGCTCTGTAGTGGCAAATACTCTTCGCTCTGTAGTGGCAAATCCTCTTCTGGTTGCGCTGGGTCCTGATGAGGCTGGAAGGACACCGCCAGTGGATTGAGTGGAGCCTGCTGCTGCTGCCATCTTCCCGGACCGGGTCGGAGGTGCCACTGGTAAGTTCCACAGCAATCGTTGTCGTCGGATGTGTCTCCAGACTCGGGCGGCTGCTGCTCTCGCCGTGGGGGTCGGGACTTCCTCTTGGCTGTAGCAGGTGTCGCTGTTGGTGTTTTCTCACAGGGAAGAAAGTCACAGGGTAGAAGAAGATTTCTGTGCACAACTTGGTCTCTCCCTCTACCATTCTCAGGACTTATTTGATACACTGGGCTATCTTCAGCTTTCCTCTCTCGAATGGTGTAGACTTGATCTTCCCAATAGGACTGAATCTTTGTGGGCCCACCTCTGGGTGTAAGGTTCCTGAGTAGAACCCGATCGCCTGGCCGAAGATCTCTACCTTTAACTTTCTTGTCGTAGTATGACTTTCCTCGAGCTGCTTCTTTAACAGCTGTTTTTGCTGCAATGTCATATGCTTCTTGCATTCTCTCTTTCCAGTTAATCACATAGTCATTATAGTCAACGTGGGACTCTTCTTTTTTTATGTTGAACAGCATGTCAATAGGCAAACGGGGGGAACGACCAAAAACAAGATAATATGGAGCGTAACCTGTTGCTTCACTTTTGGTGCAGTTGTAGGCATGAACAACTTTAGCAAAGTGACTCTTTCCAATCGTCCTTCTCTTTGCCCTCCAGGGTGCGCAGCATGGACAACAGTGTGCGGTTAAATCTCTCCACCTGTCCATTACCCTGTGGATGGTAAGGCGTGGTGTGAGAACCTTGGATGCCTGACAGTTCTTTTAGTCTTGCCATCAACTTGTTTTCAAACTCTTTGCCCATATCGTGATGTAACTTTGTAGGGAATCCGAACTTGAGCGCAAAGTCATTGAACAATTTGTCAGCTACTGTTTTGGCTGTTTTGTTTCTTGTAGCGTAGGCTTGAGCAAACCTCGTGAAGTGATCCATAACTACTAAAATGTACTCGTAGCCATTTTTGCACTTTTCTAAGTGGACAAAGTCTATGGACACCAGCTGGAATGGATATGAAGTATGGATTGATTTTAAGGGTGCACGTGTCTGTTTACTTGGCTTTTTCTTCTTGAGGCACTCGCATTCTTCTGTCACAAAATGTTCTACATCTTTACTCATTTGTGGCCAGTAAAACCTTTCCCTGATTGCATCGAGTGTCCTCTCTCCCCCAAGTGCCCCATATCTTGGTGCAGTTCTTTGTAGACCAGGGAACGAAAGATTTTAGGAAGCAGTATCTGCTCTCGGCGCAATGTTTTACGGCGTAGGACTCCATCTGGATCAATGTGAAGCTTTAACCATTGCTTGAGCAGTGAGGCGGCAGCAGGAGGCTCGGATTTTACCTCGGCTCTACTTGGTCTCTTGTCTTGTGACTTATGCCAAATGACTCTGGCCAAAATGTCATCTTCTTCTTGGGCTTTGCGAATCTGGTTTGGGGTGAGAGGTGTATTTGTGTTAGAGTCCTTTATCAGTGTTAAAGCACTGACCTGGATTACCCCCACACCCTGACAGGGGTCACTCTGTTCCACTGTCACAGATTCCATGGATGCACTTATAGCTTCTTGTGTGATTTCAGCTGTATACGTATTCATGTAGTTTCCAATGTCTAATGGCATGCGAGACAGTCCATCAGCGTCAGCGTTATTCTTGCCTGGACGATAGCGTATTATGAAGTTGAAATCAGCCAGCTCCCCGAGCCATCTATGGCCTGTTGCATTGAGTTTCGCTGATGTGAGCACATATGTTAACGGGTTATTATCTGTGTATACCACAAATGATACAGCATGGTACAGGTAATCCCGGAAACGTTCACAGATGGCCCACTTCATCGCTAGAAATTCTAACTTGCCAGAGTGTAGGTAGTACTTTTTCTCTGCAGGGCTTAAGGTGCGAGAGCCAAATGCTATCACTCTCATCTTCCCCTGTTGTCTCTGGTACAAGACAGCACCTAAACCAACTTGTGAGGCATCACAGTGTAACACAAAAGGCTGGGTGAAGTCTGGATATCCGAGGACTGGGGGTTTGGTAAGGGCGTCTATAAGTTGGTTCAGCACTTCCTGGTGTGAGCTAGTCCATTGGATGGGAGTGCGTGATGGTAAGTGGCCTTTATTTTTTTTGATAACCCCTTTTTTTGACTTCTCTGCTCGGATTGGAGTGTCATTAACAGGAGCTGGAGGACTGAGCAGGCTGTACAACGGATGGGCCACACGGGAAAAGTTGGGGATAAAGGGCCTGTAGTATGAGAGGAATCCCAGCATTTGACGTACCTCTCCGACTGTTACCGGTGTCCTTTCTTTCAGAGCCCTCACTGGCGCCATCTCAGCCGGGTCCATGGTATAGCCTTCCCCCGTCACCAGCTTTCCGAGGAATTTGACACTGCACCTGAAAAGCTCACATTTCTTTGGGGTTAATTTCACACCATGCTTTTTGTAACGCTGGAGGACCAGACGGATGTGCTCAACATGATCTTCAAAGCAGTTACTATGTACTAGATTGTCATCCAGGTACGGGAGGCAAGTAGTGTCTCTGAGACCAGCCAAACAATGTTCCATGCTCCTCTGGAACTCAGCAGGTGCGGAGCTCAAGCCGAATGGAATGCGCACCCATTCATACAGTCCCCAGGGTGTGATGAAAGCTGTTAGCGGGCGGCTGTCTTCATCTAGGAAACCCTGGTGGTACGCTTTTCCCTGGTCTAAAACTGAAAACCATGAGCTCCCACCTAACGCATCCAACATGTCCTGAATCCGAGGTATTGGGTGGCGGTCCGGGACTGATTTTCTATTGAGTTCCCTAAAGTCACAACAAAGATGGAGAGTGCTATCTTTCTTGCGCACACAAACCACAGGCGATGAGTAGGGAGACCTTGAGGGCGTGATCCATCCTTTGTTGAGCAGGTCTTGTAAATACTCTTTGACTTCATTGTGAAGGGGCTTTGGGACAGACATGTAGGTCTTTTGTACTGGACTGGGGTCATGTAGGGTTATGTGCATTCTTAGAGATGGTATGCAGCCCACATCATCATCATCAAATGAAAACGCCTCACATTCTTCCCTCAACATTTTCCTTGCTGTCTCTTGTTGCGTCTGTGTTAAGTGTTGAAGATCAACGGGTGGATCCCATGACTTTGGTCTCTCTGTTTCTTCTATCTCTCGCTTGTCTGTGTGACTCAACTGGTGTGATTTGAACCCTGTACTCCGTTTCTCTTCGTTTGATTCTCCTGTTGGAATGCTTGCACAATAAACTGTCTTGACTGGCTCTAAGTGTCCAATTACTTCATGACTGGCTAAATACATGGTGTGATGTGTACTGTTTGTTACAGGAATGGGCACATATGGCATTTTCTTATCAGGAATTTTAACCAGTGCATCATTGTATACAACTCCCTCTGGTGGTGGGTCAGGCGTAAACAACATATCTTGACCTCTGGCCCCTGGACTAACATGTGCCCGCATATAGACTATGGTGACTTTGTTAGCTGGTAATTTGATGGTTCTGACACCAATACGTAACACACCAGTCTCTACTCTGCTGTTTTGTACCAACTTGACAATGTTGTGTGCAACTTGAACTGTTATTTCAAAAGCTTTACTAACTCTATGTGCAAGCTGTTTTTGTCCCCCTTTAGTCTTTACTTCACTTTTGTTCATCACAGTCTCGATCACATTATAACCAATAATGGGATCACTGGCCACAGCTGGATCATTGCACACTAATATGGGCACTTGTAGCTCACTTGCTCTGGATACATCACCCTCAAGTCTGAAGCTGACTTCAATCCAGCCAATATATGGAATGGGCGTGTCATTGGCAGCATATACTGTAAGGGTCTCACCGTCCAACAGCTCTGCGATGGGCCGTACAGCAGTATGGGGAAGATATCTCTGCCGCCAGTTTTCATTGACTATGCTGGACTGTGCCCCGGTATCCCACAACACTTTAACTGGGTGGTTATCCATATAACAATTAACTGTACACCTGTTACCAACAAGGCTTATTAACTGTGACTTTCGCTGAGGAGGCAGGAACTTCACTTATGGCTGACTGAGCACTGTTTGTTGTTGCTGTGGAAATTTGAAGAGGACTTCGTTGCTCACCTTGGCGTTGCTCACTTTGGGACACTGGGTTTTGAACTACTGCTGGTCCCGTCTCAGTAGTCCCTCCCCATTTCCCGAGGGCCTTTGAGCTCTGCATCCACGAGAGAAGTGACCTTCCTGTCCACATTTGAAACAGTGTCCAGTTTTCCCCGCGCCCCTCATCTCTGCATTTCCTACAGCCTCTTTCCCTCTGCCTTGATCCTAATGGACGGGGATTCACTTCCATTGCAGTCATGAACATTTGCTTCATTTCTTTCCGCAACTCCTCAATGATCTGCTGTGTGTTTGTACATTCGTTTTTAGTCTCTTGGTGATTTGCTTATACTCTTCAAACGCCTGAAATACACCTCCAAGTTCTGCCTGTTTCTGGCTCAGCTGATTTTGAAGTTTCTCGATTGCTGTGACAGATGCCACATCGACCGCCATTGAGGCTGCGAGATTTTCGGTTTTCTCAGCCTCCAGAGCTCTCTGAAAAGCTGTGTCCAGCTCAGCAGACATTTGTGCCGTTTCGGTCTCCAGCTGAAGCAGCGAGTCCAGGGAGCGCAGATGGTGGTTCTCCTCCCGCAGACTGGCGTTCTCCGCAGACAATCGCGTCATCCTGGGGTTATGTTCCACCTGGTTTCTTAAAATCTTGATTTCCTCTTTGAGTTGATCTATGACAGATTGGCTCTCTTCATTTGTAAATACGTTCTGCTCAGCTTTCATTTTTTTCTCCAGCCGTGAGATGTGATCCTCTCGAAACTTTACAATCAGGCGACTTGAGTGGATAAACTTCTTTCTGATTCCAGGCTTCTTCAAGTTGAGCTACTTTCTCATGCAGCATCCTTTTCTCCTCTTCTCGTCTCTTCCAAAGGCGAACTGCAGCCATAAACTTAGATTTGTAGTGGATCCTGTCCAGAGATTCACCCATTTTCTCAGCGATTGAAAGTTGAGGTCCTCCGGGGGCAGCATCTCTCTGAGGATCACCTGAGACTAGTGCCATTGCAAGCTGCTCCTTTAACTTTTTCACTTCAGCTTGCAACTGTCTTACATTTCCTTGAGTGTCTTCATTAATGATGGCTTTGTTCTTGATCAACTTTGCTCTTTGGGCAAACTGTAAAGTGGACACACATTCTTTGAATGATGGGCCAACTCATTCATGTGCAGCACATTTTATATTTAATTCAGGCTCTGCAAAACACGTAAAACAGACATTGAATGCAGGAGCTCACTCGGTGCAGTCTCATCACGTTAAGTACTAACTGTACTTCTCCTATACATTTAAGTATAATTACACACATAAATACTGTAATGAAATCTCTATCTGCAATATGATCAAAGAACACACACAAAAAAAAACACATTCCTCTCAATATTATTAATTATAGATACTGTTCTAATATTTCCCAGCTTACAATCATGTCATTACCAGTATGAAGTCACATTGTATGGAGAATACGCTCTGCCCTATCACATTAGTCATGCAAGTCCACCTATCTCACCTTGACAAAGGACCCGTGTTTTATTTTAAATAAACTCTAAATTCAGTTTGACTCTTAAGAAACATGTTAACATTGAGCCATCTTTAACCACTATCAAATATACAATTCTTACAAAAAAATACAGTTTCAGATACGTTTGTGGCCGTTGTCTCGCGACTACCAACGGTTACACTGTTGACTCGCGGCAACCCCAACAGATACAATCACCCCAAAGTATCCCTTTTGCCCCTTTAGCTCAATCAAAGGCACTCAAAGCTGTTCACAATACATGTCACCACTGTTAACCATCATCTGTGTGTTTTTAACAAACCAGCCTACCTGCAAAACACGTAAAACAGACATTGAATGCAGGAGCTCACTCGGTGCAGTCTCATCACGTTAAGTACTTCTAGCGTTGCCCCGGCAGCAACCACTAGTGAAAGCACCAAGCGCCCTCCGCTGGCGGAACCAAGCATTGTATTTCAAAATTATGTACAATAAAACGGTGGTTATAAAATAAAACTATGGGGTGCAACTATTATGGTATGTAATATTACACAGGGCTACACTAACATGTACAGATGTAAACATACTGCTGCTAACATGCACAGATGCTAACATTCTGCTGCTAACATGCACAGATGCTAACATACTGCTGCTAACATGCACAGATGCTAACATACTGCTGCTAACATGCACAGATGCTAACATACTGCTGCTAACATGCACAGATGCTAACATACTGCTGCTAACATGCACAGATGCTAACATACTGCTGCTAACATGCACAGATGCTAACATACTGCTGCTAACATGTACAGATGCTAACATACTGCTGCTAACATGTACAGATGCTAACATACTGCTGCTAATATGTACAGATGCTAACATGTACAGAAAGATGGAGATTTTCCACTTATTTATTTGATGCTAGAGTTAGATATTTTATTTTAATGTAATTACTACAGCTATTGTTCATGCTGTGTGCACCTCATTCCTACCGTTCTGTAACTTGTGATGCAACACTGGAATTTCCCCACTGTGGGACGAATAAAGTATCTCTTATACAAACACACAAGTACATACATTAACTAAAACAAAACATTTAATAAAACTAACTATATTTCACCTCAGGCAGACCCCGCATGCTCGACTCCAGAAAAAGAAACTTAAAATGACCTGAAAGGATAATTTTGGGTCATTTTTCAGGTATTTTTCAGGTATTTTTCTTCTCCCGACGAATACTAACAAATATATACGGTACATATATTTTTGTGGGGACAGGCACAGGACGGACCCCCCACCTCTAAAGCGCCTCCGTAATGCGTCTTAGTAACACACGGAGAGGCGCGGTGAGCGTATTGGTCACGGCACACGCTACGTTTAGCAAAGGTCAGAGGTCACATGCGGCGCAGAGGCTTTCACAGCATCAGACCCTCATCAGGGAACCACACTCTCATCAGGGAACCACACTCTCATCAGGGAACCACACCCTCATCAGGGAACCACACCCTCATCAGGGAACCACACTCTCATCAGGGAAACACACTCTCATCAGGGAACCACACTCTCATCAGGGAAACACACTCTCATCAGGGAACCACACTCTCATCAGGGAAACACACTCTCATCAGGGAACCACACTCTCATCAGGGAAACACACTCTCATCAGGGAAACACACTCTCATCAGGGAAACACACTCTCATCAGGGAAACACACTCTCATCAGGGAACCACACCCTCATCAGGGAACCACACCCTCATCAGGGAACCACACCCTCATCAGGGAAACACACTCTCATCAGGGAACCACACCCTCATCAGGGAACCACACCCTCATCAGGGAACCACACCCTCATCAGGGAACCACACTCTCATCAGGGAACCACACTCTCATCAGGGAACCACACTCTCATCAGGGAACCACACTCTCATCAGGGAACCACACTCTCATCAGGGAAACACACTCTCATCAGGGAACCACACTCATATCAGGGAACCACACTCATATCAGGGAACCACACTCATATCAGGGAACCACACTCATATCAGGGAACCACACTCATATCAGGGAACCACACTCATATCAGGGAACCACACTCTCATCAGGGAACCACACTCTCATCAGGGAACCACACCCTCATCAGGGAACCACACTCTCATCAGGGAACCACACTCTCATCAGGGAACCACACCCTCATCAGGGAACCACACCCTCATCAGGGAACCACACCCTTATCAGGGAACCACACTCTCATCAGGGAACCACACCCTCATCAGGGAACCACACTCTCATCAGGGAAACACACTCTCATCAGGGAACCACACTCTCATCAGGGAACCACACTGCTGCTGTTGTGCTAACGATAACATCCAACTCCAAAGCAAAGAAAAGACACAAGGGGCATTTTGAAACCAGACACACAATACTTGAGTAATTGTAGTTTTGTTTTCTTCAGATTTGAATTGGTACTTAACCCCGTATTCTTGGCTTTCATTAAACTAATCGGGGACACTCAATTCTAAGGGAGTACTAAAAAAAACATTTCTCAAAAGAGTCTTGATTTTGGGCATTTTTAGGAAAGAAAAACAGAAGAAATTGCTGCGTTTCATTGGGGTGGCCTGCAGGGGGCGCTTATCTGGGAAAGCCTTGATCCACCTCCGCCTCGTTCCAGTGAGTTTTTAGAAATGTCCTCCTTTATAT